AGGGCCAATAGGCCCGCTGCAGTTTCCTCCATTCTTATGTTCTTATGTAGTAGGTCGTGACGGGCAGCAGGAGTGAAGTGGTCAAGTTCAGAAGTAAGGCGTGTTATGTGCTGCTTGATAGTGGCGGAGGTTATGGCACCTACCCGTCTCCATCGATGTCGCTTTGCCGTGTGGTTGCAGGGAGCCTCACAGCATCTAGCGTTAGCACCAAAACGTTGATGGTACCAACAGAGGGTAGATATACTGTGCTGAGGGTTGAGGGTGGCGTCTGAGGCAGGACGGGTGTGTTGGGGTCGGGAGGACGTGTTGCTTGGGGAAGGAAAAGGAGCAGCTGCATGCTTGGAGGAGCAGAGCTGCTCTAGGGTGTCTAACCTGCAGTGTAGGGACTGAAGCAAGTCCCCCATGTCCTGTGAGGTGTTGGTCGTCTGGGGCGCTCCGATCTCGTTGACGAGACCGGAAGAAAGTGAAAGTGTAGCTGTGGAGTTGTGCGCGGACGCATGGTGCACAGCAGTGTATTCGTGGAATACCCTGTCTGCCGTGGCTGCATAGGTTGCCGAGGTAGTGGAATTGTCCAATACTGAGAGGACAAGACGAACTTCTGCAGTGAGCTTCTGGGTGTGAAGCTGGCTCATGATAGTGTCAGGAAGCCTGTCTGTGTGGAGGGAGTTCCGTCTACACATCTCGTCCCAGAGACATGCAGGTGTGTTGTTGCCGAGGGAGAGACATGATCAGTCTTTTTGGAGAGTGGTGTGGGGCCGATGGTATAGCATCTTCAGAGCATCCCATAGGGCAGCGAATTTGTTGTCAGCTGGAGGGTTGGTGATGGTCTCTGATACTTGAGTGGCGACTTCTGTGGGCAGGGAACAGACCAGGGCGACGTACATTTGTTTGTCTGTAGCTGTAGAGCCGATGAGAGCTGTCTCCGTGTGGATAAGCCAGTCTTCAATGTTGTGATTGAAGACTGGGAGAGTGATCCGTTCCTCCTTCATCCTGTGTGAGTGCGTTTTTCCGGGGGTCACCATTTGTGAGGTTTCGTGATGTTGGTTCACACTCAGGATGGGTTGGAGAAAGGAAACTCACAATGCACTCTCTGTATATATATATATATATATATATATATATATATATATATATATATATATATATATATATATATATATATATATATATATATATATATTATTAGGTGTACAGTGCAGCTTGGTGCTGGGAAGCTGCTGCATGGTTAGGAGCTTGCTAATTCGGGAGCGTGGAGTAGAGAGAGCTGGTTGGTGAGGAGCTTGCTCGGAGGAGGTGTTGCATGCTGCTGGGCTCAGGAATAAGAAGGGAGGTCGGTTGGTTCGTTGGTTGTACGGAGAGAAGAGAGCAGTAGCTCTAGGAGTGGGAGAAGGGTAAAAGTACAAGGTAAAGTTCAGAAGTGGGAAGTAAAGGAGAAGGTTAACAGCAGGTGGGCTATCCACCTTGCGGAGACGGGTTTTTTTTGTCTTCCGTAACTGTGCTGCATTAGAGGTTCATGGGAAGGTTAGGGAAGGCCGGCCTCAGCCAAGCTAAGCTAAGTTATTCAGAGTTGTCCTTGGGGCATATTATGATGCGCTCGAAGATGTCGTTCACGAAAGAGTTCATGATGGACATAGCTTTGGAGGAGACTCCTGTGTCGGGGTGCACTTGCTTCAGTACCTTGTAGATGTAGATGCTGTAGCTTTCCTTCCTCCTGCGCTTCTTCTTCTTGTCACCCTTGGCAATGGCCTTCTGGGCCTTTCCAGCCTTCTTGGCAGCCTTTCCGGAAGTTTTGGGAGGCATGGCGGCACAGTTACTCGTGGCGTGGAGCGAGAGAATTGAAAACTTGAAGGGAGGTCACAGCGAGGTTGAGAGCTTATATAGCGGAGGTAGGCGTGGCT